AGATGGGGCTGTAAAACTGTTCATTAAACAGGCTGCTCGCTTGACTTCAAAGGCATGTCTCTGCCATAGGACAGCGAGTTTGTTACAGAGGCACAAAACAGAAGCTAAACTTAAACAATGTGAGACATTTCTGCAAGACTGTGTCTGTTTTTTGGGCGAGTTTGAAAAAATCCAGAAAGCCACATCGAGTGTTGAAACAGTGCATGTCCCTGACATTCTCTCCCATGACACGCGGAAAGCAAAGGGTCTGAATACTTATGACCATGTGATATTTCAGTTTTTCTTTTTTAATAAATCTGCAAAAATGTCAAAAATTCTGTGTTTTTCTGTCAATATGGGGTGTTGTGTGTACATTAATGAGGAAAAAAATGAACTTAAATGATTTTAGCATATGGCTGCAATATAACAAAGAGTGAAAAATTTAAGGGGGTATGAATACTTTCCGTACCCACTGTAACTTGGATGTTTGCACAGCCTTGAAAAACATTCTATCCTCACACCTTTCTGACATCTGAACTGGGGGGTGTGGTTGTTTCTGAGGGACTTTTGGTCACAGATGATTTTTTTCAGCTGCTCTTTGTTTCTAGAGACTGGATGTCATCCTGTCAGTATTTGACTAAACCAACTTGCATCCACATTAGCATCTACACTTAAAATGCCTGCTCTCCTACACCATTTGCACTCATGCAGCCATGTTTCATGGTCGGCACTATTCACTCACTGATGTACAGTAGATTTGACCAGGACCATGCCAAATAAACTACACTCTGTCTGATCCAAATGAATCTCTTTTGATGTCGTCTGACCAAAAATGTGCTACCACTATTCATAAGTCTTCCTTTCTTGTTCTTTGCCTAAAATGATGCTACTTGTTTATATGGCATCATTTTGGAAGAATGACCATTATGGTACTGAATGAAACACGTTGGGTCTGATATATCTGGAGTGACATGTTAAGGATTAGTGAAGGGGGAAGGTCACTGTTCCTGTGATAGTTAAAGTTTGAATCATTTACTGTTTTAGTGCTATTGCACAGGGGTGTACTCAGTTTGTGTTATACTATAAAGTAATTAATTCACAAACTAATTTCATTAGCATTCCTAGATTTAGCCTGAAGCAACCACATCTGATTTGTCAAGGATATCAAGGATAATCAGATTTGATAAATAGCCCTCATTTAAACAGAAGATCTAATCACATAGACACCTGAGAAGATTGGTTTCACTTCAATCTCACACACAATTTAACATACTTGTTTATAGCATTACTTATAAAATAACAAGGACAGAATAATTTGTAATTAATTAAACAAATCAGGTTTAAATTAGATAGAACTCCTCAGCTGTGTTTTCATACTCAGCTCTATAGTC